TTTTCTCTACGTTTGGTACAAGAATCACTTGTAAAACTTCTCTTTAGAAGATTGTTGCCTTATCTGTTGGAAATTCACCTCACACCCTATGAAGAATTCCCTTCAATCTTGATCTCAAGATTGATGAACAAACCCACAATATGATAGTAATGGTAATAACAAGTAATAATCAAGAACAACAAAAGAAAAGAAGAACAAATAAGAAGAGAAGAATGAGAGAAGAAATCTTTGGAGAGAATTGTTACCCACAAACTGTGGGATTTCTTATTGAACTTTCACTTGCTAACTGCAACTGTGAAATCTGTTCTGTTGTGATATAGAATACAAAGCAAGACACTCTATTTATAGTTTTAGGTTTACACTAGCCCAAAACATAAAAGGCCCAAAATATTAAAATCAAATCTAATCATATCAAATCAAATCTATTTACACAATGAATTATATTTAACACACCACCTAATTCATTGTGTCTAAACTGTCTACATTCATCATGGCTCTTAAATATGGAAAATACCTCAATCACATCACTTTTCTTCTTGATGAGGTAAGTCCACAACTTTCGACTGTAATCATCTATAAACGTGACAAAGTATCTATTGCCACCAATCGAATCCACCTGGATTGGACCACATACATCAGAGTATATGACTTCAAGTATTGCCTTCGACTTCCTTCCTACATCCTTGCTGAAGCTATTCTTGTGTTGTTTCGACTGAACACACTCCTCACAGACTTCACTTGGAATGTCGATTTCTGGTAATCCTGAAACCATATTTCTTTTCTTCAGTTCTCTGATGTCATTAAAGTTGAGATGACCTAGTCGAAAATGCCATAACCACTTATCTCTGCTGGCTGCAGTTGCTAGACACTTATGCTCCATCACATTGAGTCCAATCTTGAAGGTCCTATTTTGAGACATTGGAGCCTTCAAGATTAATTTATCACCTGCGTCGAGAACTCTCATCATCTTGTCTTCGACAACTACCTTGTAGTTCTTTTCGACAAGCTGCCCTATACTGAGCAAGTTACTCTTCATGCCTGGTATGTACAACACATTGGAAATTGTTGACCTTTTGCCATCTTTCCTCATAATCAGAATATCACCAACACCTTCAGCTGCTAGAGTGTTGTCATTTGCAAACTTCACTGTGTTCTTCGACGAGGGCTTCATGTTGACAAACCTATCTTTCCTTCCAGTCATGTGTGATGAGCATCCTGAGTCCAAGTACCACTGATCTTGGAATCTTTCTTCATCTTTCGTTGTAACCATTAGCAACGTTTCTTCTTCTTCATGTTTCGTCAGCTTTGCATCAGTCTCTTGATTTCTCTTCCTTTCTGGACAATCACTAGCATAATGACCATACTTCTGGCAATTGAAACATTGAATGTGGCTTTTGTCTGTCTTTCGACCACCACCTCTTCCTGCAGCACCACCTCTTTGGTTGCCTTGGTTCCAAGGTTTCTTTTGATTCAACTGGTTTCCTCCTTTGTTGCCATTCCAGCTACCTTTGCCTTTTCTCTCCTTTTCCGTCTGTGCCTGCAAAGCCATATCTTTTGAATTTCCTGCAGCTCTCTCAGCCATCCTCTATTCATGAGACTCAAGAGTCCCTTGAAGCTCTTCCTTCGTCAACACTGACAGATCTTTCGACTCTTCTATGGCAACTACCACGTGGTCGAACTTTGGAGCCAACGATCTCAAAATCTTTGAGACAACTGCTTTCGTCGTCAGCGCTTCTCCACATACTTTGATTTGATTCACCAACTTTGTAACTCTGGTGAAGAAATCTGTAATGCTTTCGTTGTCTTCCATCTGAAGCAACTCATAGGTTCTCTTGTGAGTTTGTAACCTCACCTCTTTCACCTTTTCTGCACCTCCAAACGACTTTTCAAGAATCTCCCATGCTTCTTTTACTGAATCAACATCACTAACCTTTTCAAAGTTATCAGGATCAACACACTGATGAATTATAAAGAGTGCTTTATAATCCTTCTTCTTCAATTCTTTGTGCACAGCCTTTTCCGCCTCCGTTGCGTTCTCCCCAAGCGATGTTACTCCGTCCTTCACAAGATCCCAAAGATCTTGATAACAGAAAATCACCTTAATCTGCTTGCACCAATTCTCATAATTGTCTTTTTTGAGAATTGGCAGGGTCGCCGGAAAGTTGCCGTTCGAATAGTTCATCGCCATCACTATCTTCCCTCCTTGAATCTCTCAACCGGAGCTCTAGATACCAGATGTTGGAAATTCACCTCACATCCTATGAAGAATTCCCTTCAATCTTGATCTCAAGATTGATGAACAAACCCACAATATGATAGTAATGGTAATAATAAGTAATTATCAAGAACAACAAAAGAAAAGAAGAACAAATAAGAAGAGAAGAATGAAAGAAGAAATCTTTGGAGAGAATTGTTACCCACAAACTGTGGGATTTCTTATTGAACTTTCACTTGCTAACTGCAACTGTGAAATCTGTTCTGTTGTGATATAGAATACAAAGCAAGGCACCCTATTTATAGTTTTAGGTTTACACTAGCCCAAAACATAAAAGGCCCAAAATATTAAAATCAAATCTAATCATATCAAATCAAATCTATTTACACAATGAATTATATTTAACATTATCAACCATCAAAGTTGGATATATTTCCCTCACTGAAGTTTTGAAAGAAACATTGTGGCTTGAAGAGTTTGTTAAGGAACTCAAACTTTAAGGTCGAGTTATCATTGTTAAATGTGATAGTTAAAGTGTCATACATTTGTCGAAGAATTTAATCTATCATGAGAGAACAAACACATTGATATTAAGATGCATTTCCGACAAGGAGAAAATCGAAAGTGGTGAAGTCAAAGTGATAAAGGTTTCGACATATCACAATGCTGCATATATGATCACCAAGTCATTGTCCAGTAAAAAGTTCTTCCACTGTATGCAGTTGATAAAGTTGCATGATAAAAACTAGTTTGTTCCCTTCAAGTTGTAGAGTTTGTTACAAGGTGAATATTTGTGGTATTTTGCATCGAACTCTAGTCTCGACAGAGATAACTTCATGTTTCGAAAGAGGTGCGCATGATGTAGTCGAAGTCTTTTCAAGCATGCAAGAGTCGAAGATGCATGTGTTGTAGTCGAAGTTTGTTCTAGCATGCGGTTGGTTAAGTTAACTTGTTGGCTAAGTTAGTTTAGTGCTTAAGTTAACTTAATGTTTAAGTTAACTTATAGTCTATAAATAGGCCGCTCTCTCAAATTGTTGAGAGAGAGTTAAACGTTGTTGCTATTCACTTGTAACTTTTTGCTCGAATTGGACAAGTAAATACAAAAATAGTTTTATCTATTTTTTGTTCTTCTTCCCTCTTCTCTTTCTTTCATAAACTTAAAAATAATTTATTATATTTATTCAAAAAACTCAATCTTTTTATAATTTTATTCATTTCTAATACGACGTATATCATAATATAAATTTATAATATTAAAACAAATTTTCTAAAAAGACATATTAATAACGAATATATTAACCGTAATTCTTATACAATTTAGATTGAATATATCTTTTGACACTCTTTAAATAAGAGAGAGAAGAGACAATAAGATGGTCCTTGTATATTGAAGATTATATTCTATATATTATCTTAACATCCTTTTTATTTTATATTGATCCAAATCTACTAATTAAATATATAATTTATTATTCAATTAAAAGTTTAATTATTTAATTTGATCACTAATCATTTAAGATAGTTAATTAATAAATAGTTAATATATAATAAAAAATATTTATATTTATAAAGTAATTAAATTAAATAAACTAAATAATAAAATATTTCAACCTTTCATCTCTAAATTTAAAGTATGAAAAAAACAAAAAAGGAAAAGAGAAGCCATCATCCTATGTAAAGTCTTGGGATAAGACCAGAAAGCAATGATTCACGTCAATCCAAAAAAGAAGAAGAAGAAAGAAGGGTCACGTGAAGGGTCACGTGAATTTCATCCTAGCACGTGAAATTCACGCGGGTAACCCACAGGTTAGAGATTCAATTCTTCATGCTTTTTATGTTCTGATAACTCCAAAAATTCTCATAACTTGGTCAATTTAAGATTGTGGTACATACACGAATGTTTCCAAATAAGATGAATACTACATCTCTAGATTATTCAATTATTAAATATATCAAAAAATAAATCAAATTTATTTATAATATGCATCGGAATTATTTTATTACTTTTATTTTTGTGTGTTAATTTATTAATTTTTTAAAATTATTTTTATTAAAAAATTCTTAAGGAATTACTTTCTAAATATTCTTTTTATGCAGGCTAAATGAACTACCTATAACCCATGATAGTCCAAATGGATAGCGACTATTTGAGTTGGATTAAAAAAATTTGAAAAAATTTAGGTCTAAAATTGAAAATTCAAATCCTAAAAAAATAATCTTAGTTGCATATCGGTTCATACAAATTAAACCACATTTTTGATGACTCTAACCTACTTCACCTAACCCAGTATCAAATCTCATTTCATCATTTTATTGATCAAAGAATTAAACAAGGTAATTACTTTTGTTCCACAAAATTTATACTATGGTGTTTTAAAGAAGGATTAATAGATATTTATTCCCTGTTATTTAGGAATCTTCTGGTTTTGTTCATGTAAAAGTAAAAAAAAAAAACAACTTTGTCACATGAAAATTTCTTTAACTTAAATCTTTTAGTGGTCAGATTCATTTGAAGAGTTGATGTGACAAGTCACTGTTGACTGAATCTAATTAATTGCCACATGTACCAAATCTTTTTCACATCAGGTGACTACTTATAATTGAGAATTTTACCCTATCTTTTCGTCCTTCACATTTGCCATAAAATAGAAGACGTCATTGAAGTGCTGAAGAGCTTGCACTGAAAATAACATTGAAGAGGTGACGATAGGGTTTGTGTTCTAAAAACGAAGCTTCATTCATATGTAAATTTTCTAAGTCAAGATTCTCATTTATGTAGTTGATCATGTTCAACGTGGTTTTCTATCCCGATGGAGAGTTCGTTAGTGAGAAAATAATATTTTACAGGGGTGGGGTTCAAAGCACTGTCCATGAACAAAATATTGAAAAATGGGGTTTATCTGAGGTGATGAATATCATTCTTGACTGGGGCTATGAAAGAAACAAGTTTAGGGTATGGAGCAAACTTGAAGGTATAAGTGTCTGTTATTTTGAAATTAATAAGGACCATCGTGTTATTGATGTTGCTACTTATGTTGTTGGAAACTCCACTAAAGGTCATTTGTATGTTGAACACAATGTGAAGGACATCAAAGTCAAAGTGGTTGAGCCTCAATGCATTGATGTTACTGTTAGGAATGAATCAAGTTATGAATACGCAGATGAAAGTGATAATGATGCAAGGAATGTTAAGTTTAATGACAATGAAGAGGATAAAACAACTGGATTGAATGATGAATTTGAAGTTGTTGAAGTCGACATGCCCAAAGAAGGTTCAAATAGAATTGACATAAATGGAAAGTCATATAGGATTAAGATGTGTGGAAGTAAGTTACCTATGAAAAAGAAGAAATTAACCCCAAAGAAGAAGATGAAGGTCAAGGTGAAGGTTATGTCACCTGCTAAGAAATCAAAAGATGTTTCTGAAGAAAAAGACCATAAACCCAATGATGATGGGGAAGATCAATATGTGAGTGATGAATTAGGCAGCTCAGACCCAGATACTTCTGAAGATGAAAAGTTACCTAAATATGAAAAATTTAGAAAAGAGCGACTTGGGAAAGATTATGAAAATCCAATAAAATCAAAAGTTGTGGTTAATAAGTTGCAAACACGTGAGAAGGTTAGAATTGCTGACATTATGCAAGATATGAGGAAGAATTACTCGATTGGGATAACACCAGGTAGGGCATGAAAGGAAAAGGAAATAGCAAAGGGAATAGTTGAAGAAGATGCTTCTAGAAAATATGCCATTATTTGGAGGTATGCAGTTGGGTTAAAAAGATTTGTGCAGGGAATATTGCAAAGATTAATGTGCAGTTGAAGTGCCCCTTGCAACTAGTGCAGTTGAAGTACCCCTTGCAATAAGTGGAACTGATGGAACTGTTGAGGATGAAGAACGAAAAATAAGAAACATTGTTACATGATTTTCATACCTTTTTCCAACTCCTACATCTGATGTGAAAAACATTTTATATACGTGACAATCAATTAGTAAATTTAGTCAACACTCACTTGTCACATCAGCTCCTCGAGTGAATCTGGTCACTAAAAGGTTTAAGTCAAGAGAATCTTCATGTTACAAGGTTGTTTTTTTTTAAAACTTTTACATGGGAAAAAACAGAAGACCCCTAAATGGCAGGGGGTAAATACCTATTGTCATACCCTAATTTTTTACCCTAAGATTCTGTTTTGCATCTCTGCATTTCATGTCCACCTTTTAGGACAAAACATGGGATCTTTCTATAATTAATTATCTTTCACCAGGAATGTACGAAGACCATTGTCATTCATACCTTCTGGTTCAAGTTAATTGAATAGTGGTATTTGTCATACCCCAATTTTGTCCACTCTTCATATGCTTTCGAGTGAATTTTTATTTCGAATAAATGAGATAGCATAATTGGTAAGAAGGTATGTGTAAAAGGTTTAGTCATAAGGTTGTGAGTAGTCCTGTGGTATTACTTTTTGTATTTATTTTCCTTTTCGTGTGTTTTCATTAAAAAGGGGTAAAAAGATTATTTTTCCATTATTTAATTATTATTTCCGTTTTTTTAGGAATATTTTGAAAAATAATTTTTTATTTTGAAATCTTTATTTTATGCATTAAATAAATAAAAAAATCCAATAAAATAAAATCTCAAGACCAATTCAATATTCATTCCAAAACAAGTCTTAAACATAATCCAAACATGTTTGAATGAAAGGAGAAAGTTTTCAAAATCACAAAACATGTTTCAAACATGTTCCAGACAAATTTGAATTCCTTTCGAATCAGCATCTCAATGTCAAGATTCAAAATATCTATAAAAGAGGACAAGAGACCAACACTTAAGAAAAAAAAAGACATCCTCATAAGAAAGAAAAGATTCACAAACAACATACAAATCAAAGAGAGGAGAAGACGGTGGAAAGGACGGGAGTTTACAAACCTGCAGATTGAACCCTCCTAATCGCCGTGAAGCTTCCAGAAGCTTTGTCGCCGTCGTTATTGCTCTCGAAACTTCCGTCGAACATCTCAGAGTCCCTCATAATGTCGGTAACCCTTTTCTCTTTTGATCTTCATATTATTTTCCTTGGTTTGAAGCTGTTGTTTGTTCAGATTTGCATAGCTGTGCGTTTTGTTTGATGATTTAGGAATTGGTTTGCGAAGAGGGAAAGATGAAGACGGCGGAGACGAGAAGAGATTGTATCTATGTTTTTTTAATTGTGTTTGTTTTTTAATTTTTGTATCATTATTGTATATTCCTGTATGCGTACTTCCACCATTTCATACCATGCACCCGCGTTTGTAACCTCCCGATCTGGATCATCCAACCACCTCACCCGAATCAGACGGTCACGATGAAGCAAGTCGGATGCCTCTTTTTTGAAGCCCTTTTTCTTATCTTTTTTAAATCTAAATTCAATTATATTTGGTAACCTTTGTTTTAAAAACTTTAATTAATTATTAACTAAAAATCTAAATACAATTATATTGTTAACTTTAAAAAAAATCAAATTAATTAATTTTTAATCTAAATTCAATTATATTTGGCTAACCGTTTTCTAAAATTCAAATTAATTATTAACTAAAATCTAAATTCGATTATATCGTTAATACTTCGATTTAAAATTTTAATTTTGATTTGAAATCTAATTTTAACTGTTATTAATCTTGGTAATAGAATTTCAAATTAATTGTTAACCTTAATTTGAAATTCAATTATTATTAATCTTTGATTATAAATTCAATTATTATAATTTTCACTGAATTTCGATTATAACTGTTATTAACTTTGATTTAAAAATTCAAATTATGATTTAATTCAAATTGTAATCGTTGCAATGTTGGACTGATATTTTCAATTAACCATGGTGTATGACTGGTAATTTCAATTGAATCACATTTTTGAAACTTTGGGCCTTAATTTCAAACGAGTAGTTCATAACCCAAATTGTTAATTTTAAACCACGCTGCCAAATCATGGTGTGAACCTCTTTCCGTCCACTTGATATATGCATGTTAACGTCCAAGGGAAGAACCTGTGTATGAATTTATAAGTTGTATACATTGCATCTCATTTGCATCATGTTCCCCCGCTCGATCCTTGATTTTTCAAGTTGATCAGCTTAGGATTTATCCCTACGCCTTAAAATAGGATATATTTCCTTGGTTTATCTTTCAACTTAGACAAACCTTATAATACAATTCAATCTTATTCTCCCCACAAGAGAATTAGATGTGATTCATCTTAATAGTCGAGGTATAATTCTCCTACCCCATAACACAATCGAGAGATGTAGCATCTTTTCCGCTTGAGAAAGGTATGTGGCATACTCGTCGATAAATCCGAGTTTTGAGCCCTTCTCTCAATGTGACGCAAAGACCATCTCCTACAAGTTGTGGTGGTTAAGTCGAGTATACTCCCTTAAGATGACGACTCGTATTTTCTCCTAGAATCAATAAAAAAAAACCTTATCCCCCTGGAACCTTGGCCATAGTCAAGAAGTTCCTCAATCCCTTTTAGGGAAACTACGAATACTCTGATTCCATTCCCGTCAGGATACGTAGGCACAAGATGCGATTTCTTGGCGAGTATACTTAGAAATAAACCCCTAGGCCTTTCACCCTTAACAAACAACAATAACACAATATAACAAAAGGTTCCTGTAGAGTCCTACAGATACTTAGGATGCTAGCACCTTCCCTAAGTTTAACCAACCCGAACCTTAGATTCTCTAGCACCTTTTTCCCTTCCTTTGGACAAATTAAAGATCAGTGGTGAACAATGAATTAAGATTCAAGTTAATCCAATAATTTGATATTCAATTCTCACCGCGACACCTATTAACCCTTAAAAGAAAAGAGAAGTGTTTCATAAACACATGTATTGAAATTAAGGAGTGTTTATATATAATGGCGCTTAAAGTTAAGACAGGTGTTTCTTTCATAAAGTTAAGACGAATATTTGTTTCACCCGGGAGACAAAACTTCACAATCTTGATAAGTTTGACAGGATTCTTTGTGGGATGATTTTGGTGCAGAGTGGAGTGCGAAATGGGCGGAGGAGAGATTAGGAGGGCTTATTAAGATTTAGAAATCTGGTACTTTTGAGCTCATTTACAACTTTTTCGGGGAAGGCTCTTTGGGAATTCATGCTAAATGGAGAGGTAATTATGTTTATCTTGTTAATGTCTATTCGTCGTGTTTATTTATTAAGAAAAGGGAGTTATGGTTTAAGTTAAGAGTGTTTAGGAAGCAATTCTCTTCGGGTTTGTGGTGTGTTAGAGGAGATTTTAACGCTGTTAGAAATCTTAGTGAAATAAAAGTGATCAGTAATCAGTTCAACAGGACGAAAATGGAGGAGTTTAATGATTTTATTCAGAGTATGGAGTTGGTGGATATTCCTGTGATGGGCAACAAATTCACGTGGTTTAATCTAGAGGGGAGTACTTATAGTAGATTGGATATGTTTCTAATTCTAAAGGCTTGTATGATCTTTGGAAGATAGAGAGTCAGGTGGTGGGCAACAGAAATATCACTGATCATTTCCCTATTTGGTTATTCGGTAATCATCACAATTGGGGTCTGAAACCTTTTGAGTTTTTTAAGTGTTGGTTTAATCATGATGGTTTCATTTCGTTTGTTGAGGATGGGTGGAACTCGGTGGTGACTTATAGAAAAGTTGATTTTATTCTAAAAGAAAAATTAAAGCTGCTTAAAATTAAGCTGAAAATGTGGATGTGGATAAAATTGTTAATGGTCTTAAAGCTATAGATTTGTTTGTGTCCAATGTCGTGGGGGTGAATAAAGATGTTACAGTGGCTGCAAGTATTGCTTCTAAGGAGGTTTTGGACTCTGTGTTGAATATAAAGAGTGTCTTGAGATAGAAATCCAGATGCAAGCGGGTTCAAGATGGGGAAGCTAACTCAAATTTTTTTCATAAGTTTATGATAGGAAGGATTAGAAAAAAGTATTTTTTTTAGGGCTGAATTCAGATAGAGGAAAGTTGGTGGTGGTTGCAGATATCAAATTAGAAGTGCATAACCATTTCAAGAAGCATTTTTCAGAAATGGTTCCGATTAGATTGGAGATGAATGGTGTTTTTAAATTCATTATATATATATATATATATATATATATATATATATATATATATATATATATATATATATATATATATATATATATATATATATATATATATATATATATATATATATATATATATATATATATATATATATATATATATATATATATATATATATATATATATATATATATATATATATATATATATATATATATATATATATATATATATATATATATATATATATATATATATATATATATATATATATATATATATATATATATATATATATATATATATATATATATATATATATATATATATGAGTGGGTTCCGATTAGAAGTGCATAACCAATTAAAGTGCTTAGTGTTGAAAGTTAATTTTTAGAAGGCTTACAATTGTGTTTCGTGGGGATTTCTTATATATATATATATATATATATATATATATATATATATATATATATATATATATATATATATATATATATATATATATATATATATATATATATATATATATATATATATATATATCTGTGTGTGTGTGTGTGTGTGTGTGTGTGTGTGTGTGTGTGTGTGTGTGTGTGTGTGTGTGTGTGTGTGTGTGTGT